GGCGGGGGCGGGCAGGCAGGGTGCCCTGCGGGAGGAAGGGCGTGGCAGTGCGCTCGCGGCCCCTCCGTGGTCAGCGGCCCCGCCCCCCCGCCGCGACACTCGGAGGGGCCCCCCGCCTCGACGCGGTGGTAGGGTTCGCGTCTGGAGGCCTGAAAATAGCGCACCTAAACAAACTCCCCGCGTCACTCATGAGTCAGCGGCCCCCTCGGCGCGGCGTGGCGGCGCGCTGCGCGGGAGGCGGGTGCGGGAGGCGGGTGCGGGAGGCGCGTGCTCTGCTGGCCGGCCGACGGGAGCATGCACAAATATCGGTTACAACGGCCGCGCCGCCACGGCTTTGACAGTGTTCCGTGGCATATGTGGACGGCGCCCGCTGCAACCTGATCCCGCCTTCACAACTCGCGGCCTCGCAATGACAGCGATACGCGGGACTCGGATTCACTTTCCGTTTCCGCGGCGCAGATCTGTGTTTTGGCGGCCCTGGCGCTGCTGACTTTGCTGGATCTATATGATCGATGCCCTTTCCTCACGTTGTGTTCTCCTGCTGTCCGACCAGGTGCTGGCCGGGATCCTGGTGCAGCGTGAGGTGCGCGAGACGCGCCAGCTGCGGGTGCGACGCGGCGGCGGCGAGACCCGGGCCGAGAGCGAGCTGTCGTGCTCCAGGATAGAGGCCCAGCACATCAACAACGGCTGCAACACGTCCACGTCGTCCAACACGTCCGCCACGTCGACGCTCTCGAGCGGCACGAGGGGCGCGCTCGACGCGGTGCTGCTCGTCGGACAAGGTGAGCTTCCGGGAGACGAGGGTGGTTGTGATCGGCGCGATGAGTTGACCTGGCTAACGCCCGCCGCTCTCTCCGCAGACGACGTGGACGCCGCGTACCGCCAGCAGCTGGAGGAGTCCCTGCCGCTGCCACTGCCACTCGACCTGGACCTCGACCTGCAGCTGCCCTCGCCCCTGGCCTTCGCCGACCCGCCGGCCGAGTACGTCCCCGAGTACGCCTCGGAGTACGACGAGCACGTGGACCTGTCCCACGACGACCTGGAGGACATGCTGCCGCCGCCGCCGCAGGAGCTCCTGGACGGACTCAAGGAGGTGAGCCTGAGGGACGAGAACGCCAACCACGTGGTGCTGTCCGTGCTGGAGCCGCCGCCGCCACCACCACCGCCGCTGCAGTCCACCCGCTTCATGCCGCACATCATGAGGCACGCCATCAAGGGCGTCTTCTAGGCCGGCTTGCTTTTAACTGGAGAGTGTCTCTAACCCACCGGCCGCCACCGCAGCTACCGGTTGCTGCTTTCGCCCGCGCGGGGCCGCCGGCTCCAGTGAGGATCCATCGATGTGGTGTCGTTTCGACGTCAATTGCCTCCTTCTGACCCCGAGGTCGATTTCTTTTCAATATTCGACGTCGATTTGGTACCGAATTTCTCACTGGGGCCACTCGGCTATGCCTCGCAACCTTTACACGACTGAGATTATTAAAGGTCGCGCCGAATACTTTCGGCAAGCCATTCCTTGTGTCATTCCATTCAAAGTCGTCCTAAGAAAAAAAGCTCATTTTTAATTATTTTTTTATAGAAAAAGAAAAACTATAATTTAATTGTTCTTGTCAGTCAGATCTCTGTCTGTGTTCAGCTTATGCTTTTTACAAATTACCCTACCTTGTACTGCTTTCTTTTCTTATGTAAATAACTTAATATTACTTGGAAAAAAATATGATTAAGGTAATTGTTGTGAGCAACGACTTTCAACCTTACCAGGTCTTATATTTTGTTTTGAAAGTAGTCTCTTGAAATCAAACTAGTCTCGTAAGGAAGGTGAGTAATTTTAAAAATTATTGCATTCAAGAAAAAGTGCTCAGCTCAGCTCAAGCAGAATACAAATTTGTAAAGATAATTAATCATGAACATTTATGCTGCCATAACTTACTGTAGAGCTTTTAATAGAGTGTTATCGCTTTTATTTATTCGCTCACATGTTTGACTACGACTAGGAAGATGATGCCTATAGGCCTTTTCTATAGAGACGTAGTCAGTTCAGCTCAAAATGGTTCAGTCTCTGTTCCGTGAATTTGTGATATATACTCTAAGTTAAGTTATGCTGAAAGTAAATGGAGGATAGCAATGCGCTCATTCCTCCTGCTTGCATGCAGTTGTTGTTTGTTTTTAGTTATGTTGTTTGAAAATAATAAAGTGTGTTATGTAGTTTATAAATACCGAGTGAGCTTCATTTAACTCCCTCTGCCTTCGTTTACATCAGCAGCAAAGGGTTGGGTTCCCCCTCGCAGGACGCAGACCCCCCCCCAGCGCAGGTAGGTCACGGGACTCGGGACCTGCTCCCGAGGCACGCCCACGAGGCAGGAACAGCCGCGGCGCTGTTCAGGCCCAGAGCTCCAAATGCCAATTATTCCTCAATCGAATTTTATCGCGGTTAAGAGTTGGCAGAGGATGATGTACGGTTTCGAAGGGAATTGCTCTTCCTCCTGTGGCCCTCATTTTTCAGCGCGTGAGAGGGAGGGGGGGGGGGTTGTCCTTGAGCTCCCGCTCGGCCAGCAGCCGGCCTGCTTTCTGTATTTGGCGACCCGGGCAGCCAGACCGGCCGGCAGCAGACCAGCCCCGCGGTGACTGGCGTGTCCCGCAGCGGCGCGACGGCGGGGCCGGCCGGGTCTCTCCACTCACTCGAGATGCCGATTGCCCATTTCACCTCTGGCGGCCGCGACTCGCTGCAGCAGCAGCCGCAGCTAGCGGCTCAATGAGCCTGCTGCTGCTGCCGTGCCTTTAGGGCCGCTGGCGCACACGCGGGGCGGGCAGGCGGGGCCGCGAGCCGAGATCCTCACATGGCTGCGCTCAAGCGACCAGCGGGGGCATTCCGCGGAACGTGGAAGAAATATAACGACACCGTTGGGGCCGCTCCAGCCTGCGCTGCTACCGGACCGGCGAGCGCGCGTGCGGGTCCTGGAAGGCAGGAAAGCGCCGCGGGAACTGCTCTGCTCGGCCGCGGAGCGTCGGGTACCGCGCGGAGGGCATGGTGGAGGTGGAAAGGCTCGCTCGTCCTGCTGAGCTTATGGCCCTGCACACGCGTGCGGGCTGTGGCCAGTGGCCACCCCGGGGCTGATCCTGCTGCACTTGCCGCTGCACACGCGTGCGGGTTGTGGCCACCCCCAGGCTGGCCCTGCTGCACTTGGCGCTGCACACGCGTGCGGGCTGTGGCCACCCCGGGGCTGGTCCTGCTGCACTAGGCGCTGCACACGCGTGTGGGCTGTGGCCACCCCCGGGCTGGTCCTGCTGCACTTGGCGCTGCACACGCGTGCGGGTTGTGGCCACCCCCCAGGGCTGGCCCTGCTGCACTTGGCGCTGCACACGCGTGCGGGGTGTGGCCACCCCCACCCTCCGCCGAGGCCTCCGCCGGCGCACACAGCCCAAAATAGCACCACCAAAATGCCCATCAGCTGCGTGCTCTTGTGTGTCCCCCCGGCCCCGGCGGCGGGCGGCGTGCGGAACGTGGAAAAATGCACGTCGTGGCCTTTATTGGGGCCCATGCAGGAGCGCGACGACGCCGTTCGGAGACAGTCCCGCGCGGTCTGTCTCTCTCGCACTCCGGCGACGGGCTTTGAAAGCCGCATACGTGTTTTGGCTGCTTTGCTTCGATGCGGGCAGTGCGAGCGTCGGGTTTAAAGCAGCTGTTTAAAGCTAAAACGATATGTTTGGAAGCCTTCACCCCCTCCCCCCTTTTCCCTCAATCTCTTTGCACCACTCTTTCCTCCTCTTCCTCCCTCTTTCTTCACTCTTTCCTCCTCTTCCTCCCTCTCCTTACGGCGAGCATCGCAAGAAGCCGAAGGAGCGAACATGAGAGATAGGGTGGCATTCCAAAACCTCTTCGGGCAAACCGTTTCGAGCACATCTTTCTTTTGTGCCCCCGCCCCGCCCCGCCGCGCGCCCCGCTGCTTCGCCGGTCGCCTGCGGTCCCGGATCTGGGGGAGAGAACAACAAACTGGTGCCGCTGTCCGGCCGGCCCCGGCCACCGCGCCTACATGCGGAAACAGCCCGCGCCAAAAATACGCAACGGCCGCGCAAGTCACTGGCTGTGGGTGCTGCTGCCGCTGCCGGTGCGGGCGCGGCCGCCGTCATGGAGGTGCTCGCCTCGCAGCCGACGGCGGCCGGCTGCGGAGGCTGCGGGCGGCGTGTCGTCGCGGTGCGGGCTATGGACGTTATGGACGGGGCTGGGGGTGACAGCGGCGGCGATGAGGAGTGACGGCAGAGCACGTCCCGCGGGTCGCGCTCTCGGCGCCGAGGCGCAGCCCGTGACCGTGCCGACCCTCTGGCATGACACAAGACGCCCCCAGGCCGCCGGAGGTCCGCACGAGCTCCAGTGAACTGTTGGGCAAGGGCAAGGGTCGGAGAGCGGGAAAGGGTGGGGGTGGGGGCATTTAGGACAATGGCGGTGAGTGAACGGAGGAGTGGGTAGTGGGCAGATTTTGTCGGCATTTGTAGTTTTTAGCAGGTGCTCCTGTACGGGCTGATAGGCTCCAATAAGACAATTGTCTTAAGGTTTTCCGTTCGAAATTTGAGAAGTTAGGTTAGGGAAAAGCGTCGCGTTGCTAAACGAGAGAGGGGTCACTTTGCTCATCGAGGACTTGGGGTGGTCGACTGTCTAAAAACTCATTTTGTGACTTTTGCGTGCTTTAGCTTTCATATTTTGACATTAGGTAGGAACAAAATGAGCCCATCGATGGGTTACCATGTATTAGTGCCAAACCCACGCGTGCTTTAGCTTTCACTATGTGGAGTATCGCGACATTACCTGCTCGAGATCAGTTACCACAGCACACAGGTACGTACTCTAAAGGCAAATCATGTTATCAGAACATTAGTGAGTACTAAAGAGCGAACAGCCATTCGACCCCCCGAAACCTGTTTGAGTAGACAAGTAGAAACTGCAGCTCAAAGTTACGGGACATAACCAACAAATTTACTCATTGCCCAGGAATGAGCCTATATCGGCCGTACATAGTGAAAAACAAAAACAACGTACTTTTTATTAACTGCGAACTGACGTCAACCCTAAGACTACCTTGTGTGCAAAACATGCTTATTGTTCAATCTCACTCACCTCCGTTTGTGGAAAAAGTTTAGAGTTGTGTGCCAGCGTCTACGTCTACTGATGCGCCTACCGCCACCGCGTCGTAGCCTAACCTAACCTAGGCTACGCTGCGTCGCGTCCAACCGTTCCGACAGTGCACTTTTTGAGAAGAAATGAAGAAGTCGGGACCGGAACCAGTATCTAAATTGCGCATATTTTTGTTATTTGACAGTGCAGTTCGACGTGAATGACCTCGATTAAAGCTCTAGTAACTGTCATTTTTAGTTTTCACTGATTTAAGCCTTTATTTTAGAACTGTTTCCGTTGGTGATTTCATTAATTCTTCTTTAAACCAGCACTGCCGGAACCAACCCGATCGCGAAGGGTCTCCTCACACACCTACTGCGCGGCCCGTGGATCAAGGCACGCTGCTCCCGCAAGCGCACCTCGCATGTAGAGCTTTACGCCCGTGCCCGTGAACCGAAAGTGCGTTGTTCGCACATGGCTCGGTCCTGGCAGCGGTCGGGCTCGCGGGCCGCCGCCGCCAGCTGGTCCGTGGCCGGCGCGGGGCGACGCGGCGGGGGGCGGCGGGGGCGCTGCGGTCCACGGAGGGGCCCGTCGTGGCGGCGCGGCGGGCGCGGGCGGGGCGGGGCCCAGTGCGGTGTGGGCCGCCGAGCCGAGAGCTTCGCCGGAGAGGCAGCAGCATGTGCCGCGGCGACGCCCGCCCCGCGTCGAGCAGCGCGCGGCCGGCACGACTGTGAGCGAGCGTTCGCGAGTGACAGTGGTGACAGCCGCGAGTGACCCAGTGACCATACCGGCGTGACCTCGACCTGCAAACGGATAACCTCAGCGTCCCGGAGACAGGGAGCAGGCGCCCATAGGGGGCCGCCCTTAGGATGGCGGAGCGCTCGGACCGCGGCGGCGGGGGCGGCGCGGGGGACGAGGCGCTGCCCCTGGTCGCCCCCGGAGCCGGCCCGGGTCCGCGCAAGCCACCCAGCACCACCACCATCAGCACCATCGCCGTGCAGAGCGGCGCCACCCGGCTGGTCATCGCCCTGCTACAAGTGAGCACGCAGCACCGCTACCGGCCACTCGCGTACTCATTCATCCCGGACTCCGAGAGGGCCGTCGCTCGCTACCGGGTACCACGAGGACCCCGCTGGGGCAACCTGACCTGCCGGGGGTGCTGACCCTAGCGCCGCCCCCCGTGGGGTGCTCTGCGCGTGCCGCCGGAGCACTGCGGGGGGTCACCGGGTGGAGGGCACCGCCCCGCGAGCTGTCTCCATCCGTCAACCCGCCTCCGGACCGTTACCGCGGTGGCAGTGGCACGGGTTGGGCCGGCGGGAGGACCGCGGGGATGAAGTAGGGCGTGGCCCGACGGGGCGGGGCGGGGGCGGCGCCTCCAGCCCCAGGCAGGCGTAGGGTGGGGACGGCGGGGGCTTGGCGTGCAGCACACGGCCGCGCTGAGCTGCACCACGCACTCGCGCGGCCCGTCTATTCTCAGCCCATACATACCCGGCGCAGCTTGGCGCGCTCACAGACGGCGGGCGCCCGCCCCGTGACAAGAGAATGCCGCCACCTGCAAGCGCAGAGGAGGGGGTGGGGCGGTTGTCCCGCGTGCTCCCCCGTCAGCTGATTGTGAGCGGCATCCTGGATGCCGGCCTGTGAGCGCGCTGTCGAGGCAGGGCGCGGCCGCCAGCCCGTCGATGGACCCAGATCTGCCCCAGATCGTGACGCTGTCACGGATCTGACATTTTGCCAGGGCCCCCGACCCGCCCGCGCTTGCCCTCGCTGCAGCT